TCAGTATTCCTCATTGTCCGCTATGTTCAGCTAGTCCGGATTTATCCCATGCTTTTTCAGACCTAGGCCAGCTGGCCTTGGTGAGATCCCAATAGAACATCCCCATTGTCTTAGTGTGTGGGTGCACCCCTCGTGGTCCTGAGTTCCTTGCTCGTGCTCCGTCTCCTTCTGCTCCTGATTTGGACCTTGAGATTTCTGTCCGGTGCTCCCGTGTGGGTCTCTGTCTCTGTCTCCTTTCATCGCCTGATGAAGGTTAATATTCCTGAGGATGCCTATGTGTTTGTCTTTGGATTCACCTTATTTAGCTTCTCTAGGAACATGAATTATAGGCTCAATGTCCTTTATTTATGGTTAGAAACCAAATATGAGTGAGTACATCCCATATTCCTCTTTTTGGGTCTGGCTTACCTCACTCAGGATAGTGTTTTCTATTTCCATCCATTTGTATGCAAAATTCAAGAAGTCCTTGTTTTTTACTGCTGAGTAATACTCTAATATGTATATATTCCATACTTTCTTCATCCATTCTTCCGTTGAAGGGCATCTAGGTTGTTTCCAGGTTCTGGCTATTACAAACAATGCTGCCATGAACATAGTTGAGCATATACTTTTGTTGTATGATAGGGCCTCTTTTGGGTATATTCCCAAGAGTGGTATTGCTGGATCCAGGGGTAGGTTGATCCCGAATTTCCTGAGAAACCGAAACACTGCTTTCCAGAGTGGTTGCACAAGTTTGCATTCCCACCAGCAATGGGTGAGTGTACCCCTTTCTCCACAACCTCTCCAGCAAAGGCTATCATTGGTGTTTTTTATTTTAGCCATTCTGACAGGTGTAAGGTGGTATCTTAAAGTTGTCTTGGGATATTTGAAATACATGAATGCATTTGCAACATTCTGTTAGAGGTGAAGTTGCTTCTTCTTTTTATTAGGATGTCAATACAGATACAGTTATATAAGATAATCACATTTCTAAAAGCTCTGCCAAGGACTGGAAAATGACACTCTTGGGACGGCTGTTCTTAGAAGGGACATAATGAACATCCTTGTGGCTATCTACTGGTTTGAGACTTGTTGAGGGTTAATATAAAAAAAGGCATTAGGATTTTTTGGTAGCTAGATTTCTATGAAGTATAATGATGCTAAATAAGTATGGATGATTGTTGGACACAATAAGCAAAAACGAGGCTCATTTTGCTTTGGTTTTCTTTCCCTGATTTTGAATCACAGATGAATTTAAGGTTGTATTCCCCACCCCCACACAGAACTTATGAATTACTAAGGGAGATGAGTGTGGTTCCTTGGAGGATTATAATGACTGTTGCCTCTCTGAGTTTGACATGAACATATGAGGGTTTTTTTTTTTTTTGTCTATTATCACTTACTCTCTCCATAACTTGTGGTAGTTTGAAGGAAAATGGCCCACAAAGGGAGTGGCACTATTAGGAGATGTGACCTTATTGAAATAGGTGTGGTCTTGTTGGAGGAAATGTGCCACTGTGGGGGCGAGCTTTTAGGTCTTTTTTCTCAAGCTTCACTCAGTGTGATGGTCAGTCGATTTCCTGTTGCTTCTGAGTCTTAAGAAAGGACTCTCAGCTCCAGCACCACATCTGCCTGCATGCCACCATGCTCCCCATCCTGATAATAATGGATTGACCCTCTGAAACTGTACGGGAGCCACCTCAGTTAAATGTTTTTATTTATAAGAGTTGCTGCGGCCATGGTGTCTCTTCACAGCAATAGAAACCCTAAGACATAACTCAACTAGTTCTCCTGGATGTTTTCAAAGTTTTCAGTAATAGTAGCTGCTACAGGCAGGCACAGAATGTATCTTCTCTGGGACCCATGTGTTTAGCTTTATGGAGAGCTCTAGAACCTAATACCCAATGAAAAATTGCTTGATAGAAACATCCATGTCTACACAACTCTTTTGTAAATTGAGAGCCCTAGGAATGGTGAGTTTTTGGGAAATAATCTCTGTAGAAAAGTCAGAGCTTTATTTCTCACAGAAAGAGAAAAGTAGAGGATACTTTCTTAAAACATCAAAATATGCAGGATTTTAAAATGGGATGCAAACACTGAGAAAAATGGCTACAAGAATTTTTAAAAGCCTTTTATATTTATTTATTTTGTTTGTGTGCCATCAGAGGACAATTTGCAGGAATTGGTTCTCTCTTTCCACCTCGTGGGTCCCAGAGATTGAACTTGGGTTTAGAGGCAAGCAACTTTATCTGTGGAGCCTTCTTGCTGGCCTTTGTTTTTTGTTTGTTTGTTTTGTTAAAGACAAAGGGGGAGAAACAGAGACTGTTAACTAGACAATAATGGAATAGGATAAAAGAAATAGAGGGCAGAGGGGCACTTCTCTGAATAAACCTTAGTTTTGACTTTTACAAACATTAACATTCTACTTATTAAAAAGAAGTTAAATCAGTGTGGGTAGCAGCTAAGGCTTAAAATCCCGGCACTGGGGACGCTAAGGCTGGAGAATCTTGAGTTCCAAAATAGCCAGGTCATGTCTCAAAGTAGAGGGAAGGAAAGTGCAGGACCATTGTGGGACTGAGTCTGTAGATCAGCAGAGGAGTGCTTGCTTAGCTTGCAGAAGGGCCTGAGAAACCCCACACTCTACAAAAGGCCAAGAAAAGCTGAGGCCCTCCTCCAGATGCAAGGTTCTAAACACGCCAATGGTAGGGCATTCTGTTTGGTCCTAGCTTAGATCCCGACTGGAAAAGAAATTCTTACAACAAACAAAAATTTGTAGGACTAGTAAAATTTGAGCAGTCTATAGACTACAAAACAACATTGTAGCAATGTCAATTTTCTTGATTTTTGTTGTTTGTGCAGTAGTTACATAAAAGTAACATTGTTCTTAAGAAACAAACATGGAGACATTCCAAGGTAAATAGACACATAGAGAAAACCTACTCTAAGACATGTGAGGAAAAAAAATTGAGGGCCAGCACACACAGCTGTGCACACTGAGAGAGAGAGAGAGAGAGAGAGAGAGAGAGAGAGAGAGAGAGAGAGAGAGAGAGAACACAAATAGGAAAAAACTTTAATGGGTTTGTAAAACAGAAGAAGGATAAAGAGTTGCTTCTAGTATTTATTCAGCTTTTATATAAGTTCAAAATTCAAAAGAATTTGTTTTTTAAAAAAATGTGCTTCTGGCTCCTTTCCTAACACATTTACCCACTCCCTGTCTAGATTTTCTTAAATTAGCAAAGAGCTTGCATAATCCTGAACTTTACTGATGCAATGACATGAAGGAGAGAGAAATTACAATCACAAAATGCTAGTGAAACGCCGGGGGAGAAAGTGAGGCTGTTCCCGTTGGCACAGGGCCTCTGTCTGAGAAGAGCTGGGCTTCCAGGTTTGTCCCGCATCCCAGTCCTACAGGAGAAAGGAAGACTTTTAGCCATAGACGTTTTATCATCATTATTTAATCTTAATTTGATCATTGGCACTTGGGATGGCACACCACGGAAGGTAGCAACAGGGATGTGTGTTCCACATTGTGTGCCCTTTCGTAAAAGGGAAGGCCATGCAGAGCTGGGTAAGACCCCGGTACAAATTGGGTCTGTCATGCTAACCGGAGACGATTCTCCAGTTTTAACACTTTTTCATGGAATCCCTGGGCTGTTGAATGTCTTTAATATCCAGAACAACATGAGTACAATACGCTTTGCTGTGATTCGGATATTTGTAGTAGACGGCTATATATCCCAACCCAGGGGTTTAGGTGCAGATGTCACAATACAGATAACTGACAGCGTCACCCTCAGAGGATACTCGCCAGAGGAGCAAAGCGGAGGAACGCTGGCAAGGCGCGTTGCTTAACTAAACAGAAATGGAAAACTGGAACTTGTCACCAACTTCACAGCCAAAGAGAAACAAATCACATTATTAGCAACACATAGCATCAATAGATAACTAGTTAAAGCGGAACACAGTTTTCACCACAGACAGAGCTCAGGATGCTGGGATCTGGGATCCTAGCCCAGGTGTAGGACAGGATATACCCCACCCGCTCACCCACTACCTGTAGTTGACAGTTGAATCTTTGCATTCTGAAGGCCCCACTTAAGGCCCCAACTCAAGGAAACTTTGCTTTCCCCTAGTGGTTTTGGGGTACACTTTGTCTATGTTAATAGACATGAGGAGCCTTGTGAACCTGGCTACTTTCCAAAGTCAATAAGGATCAGTTTCACAAAAGATAAACTAAAAACGCTCATTCTGTGTGGTGGTGGAGCAATACTCTCTCCACTCCGGCTCTGGGGTCCTTTGCTTTAACTGCCTTATTCCTCTACTGTGACTGATGAATACCCAATATAGGATTAAAATGCCATTTTCATGGAAAGATTTCCAATTTTGCCAGCAGCCAAGGCCTTAAAGGAAGAGAATCAAGTGCGTCTACAGCTGGTAGAGCAGGTTTCGGAATAAAGCCACACCCTCCTGGTGTCACGTAGGCCTGGGAACTCTTCTTAGAGATTTGAGCCAATTAGTATTTTCTGCTAGTTTCTTGGCAGGTAGGAACCTGCCCTTCACAAAGACTCCACAGCTATGGGGCATCAAACATGTTCCATCTCAACATCAGGTCTCTGCAGGATAGAATAGAAGCCTGGGTAGATTCACCTTGTGCTGCCCAAGAGTTCCCCATCCTAAAGGCTCCTTGGTATGTAACTCTCTTCTTCTAGGGTCGGAGGAAGAACTCAGGCACACATCTAATTCCCAGGAAACCAGGACAATTCTTTTCCTCCTCTTCCTCCTCCTCTTCCTCCTCCTCTTCCTCCTCCTCCTCCTCCTCCTCCTCCTCCTTCTTTTCTTCTTTTGCCATCCTCTTAACAAATGAGGTTGAAAGAGAGCTGGCTTCCACTGAGTGAAATGAAATCCAGATTTTTTTTTCTTTTTGAAATTGGATCTTGCTATAGACAAAGCTGCCTCCACTGCTCAAGTGCTGGGATTATAGGTATGTTCCACCACACCCAACTGAAGTGTAGAGAATTTTTTTTTAACACAGTGTCAAATAATAGCAGATCTAACCAGGAAGTGTCTGAGAGCATTTCCCCACCTGCCAGTTCTTCAGGTAGCTCTTCACTGCTTTTACTGTGGGGCTTTCATTAATTTAACTTTAAATTAAGCTTTAATTTCTTGTACATGTATTTATGTTTAGAGTCATCAGAGAAGCATCTTAGGTTCAATTTTTTCCTCTCCTGGTTCTGACACTCAAACCCAGGGTTTTGAGCATGCTGGACAAGCACTGTCGAACAAGCACCACTCCATCTCCAGTTTGTTTATATAAAAATACTTCAGTTAAATAGTTCCATCAAATCAGTTTTTAAATAATTCCAAGGTACAAATGTATGTTGATAATTTTTGTTTTTATGTCCCTATAACTTACACTTAGCTTTTAAGATGAAACTTATGCTTAAACAATGTTTGCTTTGGTGCTGAGGGTCAAATCCGGTGCCTCATGGATGTGGAGGAAAATGTCGCATCACTGGGCTCCTCCTAGCCAAAGCGTTCATATTTAAGGACCATAACCAACTGCGCCGAACTCTCAACGGTAAGTTTCTGAGTGTCTCACTTTGGGGTGAATTTGGGTAGGAGTGAACAAGGAAGTCATTTCTTTCAAATATGAAAGACGTATAAGAGAGGAAGGGAGAGAGAGAAAGAGAGAGGGAGAGAGGGAGAGAGAGAGAGAGAAAGAGAGAGGGAGAGAGGGAGGGAGAGAGAGAGAGAGAGAGAGAGAGAGAGAGAGAATATTCCCCTCTGTTTGCCCAAGTAGCATTGCTTTCCCAGCACAAGACAGTAATCTGTGAATGTCTGGGTGTGTTAGGGGTTGAAATAGGGGGATTGGGAGCTTCAACAACTCTTAAAGAAATGTCAAAGCATAGAAGGAATTATATTTGTTTTCCATGTTTTGTATCTGAATCGTCCTGAGAAGAGATTAGAAAGCAATACCCCTGAAAACAACATAAAGACCCAACATTCAATATCCTAGAGAGGATCCTTACTGCACAGGGCTGTTATACAATCAGTTTCTCCTGGGAACACGGCATATTTAGTAAATGACTCCAAATGGGCACCAAAAATGACACATAATCTTTGTTTAGAGAAATAATTACCTCATTGGTAAAGCCCAAAAATAACTGCACGGAAACTTGATCATCATTAGTAGCAGAATAGAAGCCCCTTTAGGAGACCAAGTGTGCAAGTGTGCCAACGGCAGCACCCTTCTTGACTCAGGATGCTGAGAAACTGATGGTCTGTGGGAATCGCCATGGTTTCACTGGGTTCAGGCGTTGTCATAGCTATGAAAGGGGGAGTGAGAGCATCGTTCTGCATATGAACAGAAAAACATGCCACAGTACAGAACACGTGATAGCTGCATAATAAGTGCTGATTAAATTACAACGAGTAGTATTCTTAGAAGCCAGTTGAATATCATTCTTATCCAGAGGCGACAGTGGTCTACATTCTCCTGATTCTCACTGGTATAAGACAACTTCACACAGACACACATATTCCACAACAGTCTATGACAGAATGCCACAGGGGAAGATTTCCATCTGGTCCCTCCTGTTCTGCACAGATCAGTTCCCAAAATTATTGTCCACCAAGACTCAAATGTACTTCCAGAGCAGGGCCCCGGGTCTATCTCTCTGCTCCACCGGCAGACTCTAGTGGCATCAGGTGGCCTTGGTAATAGACAAGACTCACTTCATGTGGCAGTTGTTGCTGTGTGTGTGTGACTCTTCATTCGACCACAGACCTTGAGCCTTGACAAGTCTTCGGGGACTCACAATGGCAGATGTCATCCTTGAAAACAAGCAAACCAGACTGTGATTATGATTCTTGCGAGGGGAGTTGCTGACTTCTCAGGGTAGCTTGCTGTTCCCTTGCCAGTACAGTTTCTCGTCTGCTTTTTTCTTTTTCCACCGGCAAAGGAGCAGCATCTTAAAGGTCTTCCTGAAGGTTCTGTTGCAGAGAGCATAGCAGATGGGGTTGACAGTGCTGTTGACGTAGCACAACCAGTAACCCAAGTGCCACAAGGTGACAGGGACACACTTGTCACAGAAGGTGGAAACCAGGACCATGATGTTGTAAGGGGTCCACGTGATGATGAAGGCCAGGAGGATGGCACTCAAGGTCTGGGCTGCTTTCCTCTCTTTGACTAGGACCATTCTCTTTCGTTTGGTCATTTGATGGCTGAGGTTGGGATCCAGGCCTTTCGTGGAAGGGTCTTTGGACACCGGGAAGGTACAGGGCATGATTTTCACCTTGCGACAGCCATTGTTAGTCTCCTGGGTCCCATCAGCTTTTACCACCAGTCGGAACTTATAGGCAACACACTTCTGACTCTTGAGTCTCTGAGCAGTAGCCGGGGTCAGGAAGTACTTGGGAGTGTCATAGTCATTGTTTTCAGTCTGAGCATTCCCAAAAGTTTCCTTGGTCTCTTCAGCGCTGAATTCCTTCCTCGGGCTTTCCTTGGCCTGGTTCTTGTAGACCACTTGGAAGACAGGGTCAGTGGTAGTCTTGGCCTCATCCTCTGAGGAGGCATAGCTGCTACAGGTAGTGACCTGCTCAGCCTTGTCCCAGTCAGCGCTTAGGCCCGTGGTCTGGGTTGGCTTTCCTGTGGTTGAAGTTCTTCTGCGGGAGGATGACCAGTCATTCCTTTCTCTCTGGGCCAGGCTGGGTCTAGGGTAGCTAAAGAAAGATCTGAGCAGGGTCCTGTGAGCCGGCTTTCTCTTCTTGGCTTCTGCCACAGAATCAGAACCCTGGAGGTCAGCCAGGTCCTTGGTTCGCTTCTCGGTTTCCCTGTAGATCCGGCAGTAGAGTATGGTCATGACGGAGACAGGGATGTAGAAGGCAGCAATGGCAGTGCCGAAAGTAATGGTGGGCTCAGAGAGGAACTGGATCTGGCACTCATCGGGTGGTACTGTCCGCTTGCCTACCAAGTACTGCCAGCAGAGGATTGCTGGCGCCCAGAGGATGAAGGAGATGAACCAGGCCAAGCCGATCATGATGCCCGCCCTCTTTGGGGTACGCTTGGCCCGGTATGTCAGTGGTCTTGTGATGGAAAAGTAACGGTCAAAGCTAATCACCAGAAGGTTCATGACAGAAGCGTTGCTGGCAACATAGTCCAGGGCAAGCCAAAGGTCACAAGCCAGACTCCCGAGAACCCAGCGACCCATGAGGATGTAGGTCGTGTAGAGGTTCATGGAGAAGACCCCAATGATGAGGTCTGCACAGGCCAAGCTGAGCAGGTAATAGTTGTTTACCGTCTTGAGCTGACTGTTGACTTTGAAGGAGATCATGACCAAGACATTTCCCACAATGGTCATCAGGCTGACCACAGCCGTCACCGCTGCAATAGTGATGACTTCCCAAAGCCCATGGCGTTCCAAAGCCTGGTGATTTACTGGGGTGCCATTGACGGTGGTTTCATTGTGGTAAGATTCCCCCTCCATCCTGGTTCAGGAAGTTGTTTTCGGATTTAGTCTGAGGTTTGAAGCTGCTCTGTTCTGCCTCCCCTCTTCTTCACCGGTATCTGGAAGAGACATAAACAGGTCATTGCCACTCATCACAGTTCTGCCTGATTTTTTTTCCATTCATCATTACTTCCAGAGTATGAAATGTATTTAGAGTAAGATTATGGATTGTTGAACTTTTTTTCTTAGAAAATGACTTAATTATTATCACACTATTGTTAGAATTGATAGTGTTGAGATAGTTAAGGTAAGAATAAGGTAAAAGGCAAAATAAATTTTGGAAAACATATATATATATATATATATATATATATATATATGTACACATCATCATTGCATTGGGAAACAGTATAGTAATGTATGTATATATATATTATCATTGCAAAATTATTCTGCCTAGTGAATAAGTATTTTTTTAAACTTTATTTTATTTACTTAGTATACAATAGTCTGCTTACATGTATGCCCGCAGGCCAGAAGAGGACACCAGATCTTATTACGGATGGCTGTGAGCCACCATATGTTTTCTGGGAATTGAACTCAGGACCTCTGGAAGAGCAGTCAGTGCTCTTAACCATTGTGTCATCTCTCCAGCCCAAGTGATGGGTTTTAATTATAAAAATTTTTAATTAAAATATTTTTAATGAAAAGTTCTCTTCTATTTTTATACATGCAAAAAAATGAATTTTGGTCATCTTCATGCCCCAATGCCCTCTCTCTTTCCTCTCTTTCTCCCCTTGAAACCGTTTTTCTTCCACAGAAATCTCTGGACCTTCAGTAGCATTTTTATCAGGATATCATTACTAGTTCTTTGAGAAGTTCGCAGGCTGTGTTGTGAGCAAATCCACTCCTTTCCACAACCTCTCCCAGATCCATCCCCTTCCCTACCCACCCAGCTTTGTGTCCTTTTAATTGTTCCGTGAATTATCGTTTGCATTTTAATGCGCCTCACTGCCTGAGTACCATTCGTATGTGTGAATCTGCTGCCCTCTTGTGGCAATTTTTTTAAAAAGGGGGTTGAGAAGATGAAGATGAGAAAGGGATGAATATAATTGCTTAAGACTGGGTGGGTGGTGGGGGTGAGGGATAGTAGGGTGGAAATGAAGGGTGTGGTTGTGGGTGGGGTGGGATGGGGATAGGGTGGAGGTGGCCTGTGGGTGTGAATGCTAGGGATAGAAAACGGAAATGAGCATTGGAGGTAGTGCAGGGAAGCGGCAGGCTTAAAACACAACTGCTCACAATGGGTTAAAAGCCAAGGGGAATTCCTACTGAAGGAATGTGTGAAGAAACAAAGTTTGTGCATGCCTGTTTTTTTTTTTTAAAGGTGGCTCTTTTAAAGTAACAAACATCTAACTTCTGACTCAGAGAGAAGAAGCGCATGCAGTCTAAAGTTCATTTCAGTTAATAGACAGCTTCTTGGAGTGGGTGGGGATGAGAAGAGGGATGGGGGGAGAGGAGGGAGGGAGGAGAAACTGATTGAGCTGGAAAAAATAATTATTTTTTAAAAATCAGGGGGGAAAGGTGGCTTCTCATTGTCTATAAAGTAATAATATCTGGGGCAGGATTTTAACCAATGCTTTAAAAACACTGTTTACGAGTGCTAGATGCTTTGGAGCGTAAAAGATGCTCAGGTACATGAATTGAGAGACTTAGTCTTGTTCAGCCCTAAACAGCATCCAGGAAGACAGTGAGGCCTCAGAAGGGTCATTCTCGAGGATACTGAATAGTTGCACTGTCACCATAGAGCAGGAAAGCTGGTGAGACAGCTTATACTTGAGGACTACACCGGAGCCCCTGGATTCATGTGTGAAGCTCGTCTCCTACTCCTGGGGTATGGTGGTGGTGGGGGACTCCCTTCCTTTCTGTCTTGTGCGGTATCCCCAGACTTTGGGGAATCTATCATTTTTCTATATGTGCCATGTCATAAAAAGCCTTGGAAGAACTGCTGTAGTTAGGTTTATGGGAAAATCTGAAAGCCCAGAATTCCTTGGCAGTTAGCAAACTCTTCCCAATAGAAGTAAAAACAAGATTATGCATTTATAATTCCTAATGGAAGCATACTTTTCTGTAGGCAATAGGAAGAAAATGTCTTAAGGACACAGGGACACACTGCATGCATCAAGCAAAGCTGAGAAGTCTAGTAAAATGAGGATTGACACAGGAGCCTGGGTTTAGTTCCAAGGAGATAAGATGCATCTTGGTAAGCTGTTTGGGGCTGTGGTGCTCGGAGAGCTTTGAGACATAAGGGAAAGAGGGACCAGGAGGATCAGAGTGGGAGGAAGCTATGCTACTGACAGCTTGCTTGTCTGTGGACCAACTTCGCGCCTGTATGCAATACCAATCGAAGGCCAGAAGAGGGAGTCTCTTAGGACTGGAGTTACAGACAGTTATCCACTGGGTGGATGCTGGGAATCAAACCCTGGTTTTCCGGAAGAGTAGTCAGTGCTTTTAAGCATTAAGCCTTCTCTCTAGCTGGCCTTTTCTTATTTGTAAAGAAAGGTGGACATAATCTACTTTTTCATGCTCATGAGAATGACGGCACATTAGAAGTTAAAAACCAACACATGGGAGAGACTGAGAGAGATTCTGGAGTGAGCTGGTAAGTGAGCTGGCATAGGACCTAATGTGGTAATAGAAGTAACTGCCTGCCACTAGAGCAGAGGCCCCACAATAGTATCCCAAGGGAAGGTGGAGTATATGGCCCAGACACCAGACAGGTTTGGAAGAGGTGGACATTATCTTCTGATCACATCCGCCTTTAAGAAATAGAAAGCCTAGCCAACAGTTTAGAGTGGGGAGGGAAGGTGGTAGAAGCCTGTCCTGTGTATTTTAGGGATTGGTTCCGTCCATTTTGAGGAGTTGCCTAGCCCTGAGCCAAGACCTCGAACCCCCTTAACATTTCATCATTAGCTGACTTTCATCTCCAGCACAGTGTGGACAGAACTTGGGGCCTCAAAGAGGAGCTCTGGTAAGCTCCCCCTCATCTGTAACCTGTGAGCACCCCTCAGCAACAGATGGGGATGTTTAAAATACACAACAAATGAAAAGCTAGGCTTTGTAGCACAAGCCTATAACCCCAGCTATGCTGCAGGTTTAGACAGAAGGGTGGACCATTCAAGGGCCTGACTGGGCTACAGGATGAGTAAAGGGCTCTTTGGTGCAGATGACTGAGATACTCTTTCAAAAGAAAAAGTAAGGGCGGCCTTCTTTCTGGGAAAACCTATAGATGTTTCTCCATCTTCTTTTTCATGCACTCGGCATAGGAGGGAGCTAAACTATTTAAAAGTCTGCCTGTTTGCAGAGGGAGAATCAAGAAACTGTGCTTGTTCTATAAAATTCGTATTCGCAAGGGATCCATGATTTGTTTTAGAACTATCCCAAACAGCCTGGAGGCAGCGGTGCACGATTTTAATCTCAGCACCTGAGACACAGAGGCAGGTGGATCTCTGTGAATTCAAGGCTAGCCTGGTCTATATAGTGAGTTCCAGGCCAGCCAGGGCTACATAATGAGACCCATTTAAATTAAAGAAAGGAAGGAAGAAGGAAAGAACTATCATAATATTTTATTTTCCAAGTAGCGAGAAACTGTAAGTTCCATGGTCTTGGGTTAGTATAGTGATATTTTATTTTATTTATTTAAAATATTTATTTATTATGTATACTATATTCTGTCTGTGTGTATATCTGCAGGCCAGAAGAGGGCACCAGACCTCACTACAGATGGCTGTGAGCCATCATGTGGTTGCCGGGAATCGAACTCAGGACCTTTGGAAGAGCAGGCAATGCTCCTAACCACTGAGCCATCTCCCCAGCCCCCTAGTGATATTTTATTTATGTTTTAATAAATAATGCATGAAAGACAAGAAGGGCAAAGCTAAGGCCCTAGAGGTCAGGCAATGGTGGCACACCCCTTTAATCCCAGGATTTGGGAGACAGAGGCAGATGGATCACTTTTTGAGTTCAGGGCCACCCTGGACTACACCAGATCAATGCAGAAACCAATCCAGGTGGTGGTGGTTTATACCTTTAATCCCAGCACTAGGGAGTCACACGCCTTTAATCCCAGCACGAGAGGGAATATAAAATGAGAGGAGAGAGCGGCTTAGGTTTTAGTTTGCGAACGCCAGCCTTGGTAGAGGTAAAACCTCTCTCATGGCTTGGCTGCTTTGCGTTTCTGGGTTTTAGGTTGAACCCCAATTTCTGTCTCTTGTTTTTATTACTTGTGCTACAGGCTAGGATTTATGAAGCCTTCTTGGGAAGTTTAAATGAAAGCCCAGATATTACGTGATGATAGTGATTTTCCAACCTGAGTATGTATCACAGTTGCCAGCAAGTTGATTGAAACAGACACTGGGCTTCATCCTCAGCCTTGTGGCTGCAGGGATGTTTAGGAGTTTGTATTTCAACAAGTGATACTGTGCTACTACTACACAGTTTGAAAACAACTATGAAATGAATAGATTTTGTAGGTGGAGGCTGCTTGTTCATCTTCTGGACAGACCTGAAATAATCACACAGAAATTGTATTAATCAAAACACTGGCCTAGGAGTCTTTTTTTTTTTTTTTTTTTCGAGACAGGGTTTCTCTGTGGTTTTGGAGCCTGTCCTGGAACTAGCTCTTGTAGACCAGGCTGGTCTCGAACTCACAGAGACCCGCCTGCCTCTGCCTCCCGAGTGCTGGGATTAAAGGCGTGCGCCACCACCGCCCGGCTGGCCTAGGAGTCTTATTAACTTATTATTAATTGTTATCAACTATTCCTGTTAAGCGTAGTGTAGAAGGAGCTGTGGGCTGCTTCCCACTGCCCGGCTCCCGCACAGCTAGCTTTACCCACAATAATTACTCGGAAACTGTATTCTTTTAAATACTGCCTGGCCCGTTATCTGTAGCCTCTTATTGGCTAACTCTCATATCTTGATTAATCCATTTCTAATAATCTGTGTAGCACCACGAGGTGGTGGCTTATCAGGAAAGATTCAGCCTGTCTGACCTGGTGGCTGGCTCCATGGCGTCTGACTGAGGGAGAATGTATTACATTAAAAAAAAAATCTATTTTCAATA